GGAGTAACTGCACATAAAATGGAATTTGTTGTAAAAGGGCATAGTGGTAAGGACAATCAGTTATACCTTAGTAAGCGTGAGCAATAATAACACAATACTACCTGGTTTATTTAACCCACATGGCTAGGTATGAAAGTAGAAATGTGCTTATTGCATAGTGCTATCTTATTGCTATATCTCTTATGGAGTTAGGCAGAAGGATATCTCAAGCTGTTAAACTCTAAACAAGTATATGCGGTACACTGCAGCAAGCCATGTGCAGATCTGTACATTGGGAAAACAAAACAACCACTTCACAAACGCATGGCACAACATAGGAGAACAAACCCATCAGGACACGTTTCAGCAGTCCACCTGCATTTAAAAAGCAAAGGCCACTCTTTTAAAAACAGCAAAGTCCACATTTTGGACGGAGAGGACCACTGGTTTGAAAGAGAGGTCAAGGAGGCCATCTATGTCAAAACTGAACAGCCCTCTCTCAACAGCACCTACCCTCCAGAGGCACCTACCCTCTGGAACAATCTACCCCCAGAGATACGAGTGATCCCAGACCTCCGGACTTTTCGTCGGGCCCTTAAAACCTATTTTTTTCAGTTAGCCGGGCTGTCCTGATTTTATGGTGGGTTTTTAAAATTTGATATTGATTTTAATTGAAATGTTTTAAATTATGGGCCAAACTTTATTTAATTATTTTAAATCTATTTTAACTTTTGTGTACACATGTTTTATTTTGGCTGTTCACCACCCTGAGTCCGAAAGGAGAAGGGCGGTATAGAAATCTGAAAAATAAATAAATAAATAAATAAATAAATAAATAAATAAATAAATAAACAAACAAACAAACAAACAAACAAACAAACAAACAAACAGAAGGGGAGGGATATGACATTGTGTATCTCCAGTCTACATCACAGTTCTTTCAGTAGTTCCAAGAAGAGTCCACACCCATTTTGCACCCCTCAGGTAATCCTAAGGACAAGATAAATATCCAAGTGGCCCAGTAGTGGGATTCAAATTGAATCCCACTTGAGGACCCAGTTTGTGGGGGCAATGAGCTGACTTTGTATAAAATATACAAAAGTATGAAGGCTATTGCTTAACGCACTGTAAGCCGCCCTGAGTCTCCGGAGAAGGGCGGCATATAAATCAAATTAAAAAAATAAATAAATCCCAGTGCTACTGGTTCACTATCGGGAGAACACAGGCACGTGTGATTGCTTAGGGAGCACACAGGAATAGAATAAATACTTTATTATGGTCATCGACCAGCAATAGACATACAATAAATTAAATTAATACAATTAATTACAATAAATAAATTAAAAATAATACTGACATTAATGGTAAATAATAGCATCCCTGTTATGAAAATACACGATCTCAAAACGTTAGGGTCACTCCCTAATTTACACGAGTGGGGAGCTGATAAGTATGTGAGTAAATGTATTTTTCCAATAATTGTTATAGATATCTCCAAAAAAATTGGTACCAATTGACATCTATAATTCTGTCACCAATTTCTTTTCTTGTGGACATTGCAGCAACACAGAATTTTGCCACCGCACGCGTGATAGCTGGGTTTGAGTCTTGGAGGAGAAAGTCTACCTAAAAGTCATCTGTCCTCCCTGGCAATCTCTCTGTAAGGGGAGAATATATATTGACCTACATATTTTGTATAACTCACAGTCCCGGGAGTGCACAGGCGCTCATGATCGCTTCGCAGGCACAGAGTGTTTTTGATGATGTCCGGGTGAGTGGGCAGAGCCTCCCGCTTCTGCCTCTACCGGTTCACCTGAACTGGGGTGAACCGGTAGCAACCCACCACTGAAGTGGCCTCAATGACTCTCTAAAATAATGCAAAAGATGAGCTGTCTACAAGGAGCATAAATCCTTCCGTTCCTCACCATCCAGTCAGAGCTGAGGAACCTTCTTGAATGAGAAGCGAAATGTCTTCAAAAAAAAAAAACCCTAGAAAGTCCAGTTGCCTCTTGAAAAAGCACCTTTGGGACAACTAGCAACTAGTTGGAGCAGAAATGTTTCTTTGATGTTTGTCTTGTGAAGTACATCTTTAGAAATGTCAGCTGGCAAGGAAAGGGCACCATTGCCCATGTTAAACCTCTGGATTGGCTGGGGTAATATGAATGCGTACAGGGTGTTATGTGGTTCTTCCCTTTCTCTGGAGATGGTTCCAGTCAGTGTTGGATGGAAGGGAGAGCTTGAGCCCCAAACCCCTGATATTCAAGTTGTCTCAATGAGGCCCACCCAGTTCTAATTCCGGTATCAACTTTATGCTGATGGTATTTCTTTGTACAACTATTGACTGAGCAATGTGATTAAGATTTTTTTTTCCCAGTACCTAAAGGCTTCCTGCATAGTGAGGGTTGGAAGAAATATCCATCTGGTTCAATTCCAAGCAGGAAGAAAGACACTGGAATCAAACTGATTAGAAAGATGGTTTAATGAAGCAGAATCATCAAACACATGGTCCTGGTGCAGCTGACCACATGGAGTTGAGAGAGAGAGGTATTTCTCTCTCTTACTCTGGAGAGTAACAGGCTTCAACTCAACCCTTCCAAGACCGAGTGGCTGTGGCTTCCGGCATCCCAATATAGCCAGCTGGTGCCTTTGCTGGCTATTGGGGGTGAGTTATTGGCCCCCACGGAGAGGGCGTGTAACTTGGGCGTCCTCCTGGATGCACGGCTGTCTTTAGAAGAGCATATGACGGCGTGGCCAGGGGGGCTTTTCATCAGATCCGCCTGATTTGCCAGTTGCGTCCCTTTCTAGATCGGGACTCCTTACACACAGTCACTCAGGCACTCGTCACTTCCCGCCTGGACTACTGCAATGCTCTCTACATGGGGCTCCCCTTGAGGAGCACCTGGAGGCTCCAACTGGTGCAGAATGCGGCCACGCAGGGGATTATGGGAGTGAGGGGGCGCTCCCATGTGATGCCTCTCCTGTGTGAGCTGCATTGGCTTCCTGTGGTCTTCCGTGTGCACTTCAAGGTGTTGGTTACCACCTTTAAAGCGCTCCATGGGTATTTGTGGGACCGCCTTCTGCCACCGATAGCCTCCCACCGGCCAGTATGCTCCCACAGAGAGGGACTCCTCAGGTGCCATCAGCCAGGCAATGTTGGCTGGTGACCCCCAGGGAGAGGGCCTTCTCTGTGGCAGCTCCCACCCTCTGGAACGATCTGCCCCCGGAGATACGAAGGATATCAGATCTCCGGGCCTTTCGCGATGCCCTAAAAACTTTTCTTTTCCATCAAGCAGGGCTGGCGTGAAAACCCCCCCCCTTTTTAACTTTTTTAACCTTTTTTAGCTTTTAAAGTGTCAATGGGTTTTAGGTGGGATGTTTTAATTTTTTGGGCCAAAGTTGTGTAATTCTTTTTAGATTTTGTATTGGTATGTTTTTATTCTTGGCTGTTCATTGCCCTGACTCCAGCAGGAGAAGGGCGGTATACAAATTGAATAAAATAAAATAAATAAAATAATTTATACCCTCTCTTGGGCCTTGCACTTGAACTTCCTGTTCCTGTGCAAGAATATGTATTCTATGTAATGGTTGTTGTAGGGGTCATAGTTAACTTTGTGGGTTGTGGTGTGGCCAACTGGGTGGGTGTGGCCAACTGGGTGGGTGTGGCCAGCTTGATGCCACTCCCTGGGCATGATCGATTGAGTGGGCATGGCCAACTGGGTGGGCGTGGTCAGCTTGATGCCACTCCCCAAACTGTTGGCATGTTTCCTCTTAGTACTGGGTAGACTGGCCAAAGCCGTATTGGCCCGATGTTTCCTCTTCATGATAATAATAATAACATTTTTGTCATTGTACATGTATACACAGTATATCCATACAACGGAATTCACTTAACACCCAAAGACCAGGTCCAACACACATAACAATCCCCAAACACACTCCCACCCACCACAATTCCCCACCCCTAAACCACCCAAACATCCACACAACAGACCAAGTAATGCTGTCCAACAGCTCACTGATGGTGGCCCTTTAGTTCATTGTTGAGTGCAATTATAGCTCTGGGATTAAAAACTATTCAGAAAATGTGTGGTCTGAGTTTTAATTGTTCTGTATTTTCTGCCAGAAGGCAAGAGTCCAAAAAGATTGTAAGCAGGATGGGAAGAGTCTCTGAGAATGTTATGCAACTTTCTCAAACAGCAAGATTCGAAGATGTCATCCAAGGCTGGTAGCTGGAGTCCAATGATATTCTGGGCAGTTTTAATGATTCTCTCTAGAGCTTTTTTGTCCACTACAGAGCTGCTCCCATACAAATCTCACCAGGCTCAAGGTTGACTCAGCCTTCCATCCTCCGAGGTAGGTAAAATGAGGACCCAGATTGTGGGGGCAATAAGCTGACTTTGTATAAAAAAGAACACCGCTTAGGGGGGCCCAAAAGCCCTACTAAGCATGTATATACAAAAGTATGAAGGCTATTGCTTAATGCGTTGTAAGCTGCCCTGAGTCTCCGGAGAAGGGCGGCATATAAATCAATTTAAAAAAAAAAAAAGGTGCTTTTTCAAGAGGCAACTGGATTTTCTGTTTTTTCACTTCTGATCAAAGTGAAACGTTTTGCTTCACTTCTCATCGAAGCGAAGACGTTTCACTTCTCATCGAAGAAGCTTCTTCAGCTCTGACTGGAGGTGTGGAATGGAATGATTTATACTCCTTCCAGACAGCTGACCATTTGCATGAGATTTGTGATTTGCTTCTCCCAAAAACAATAGCAACAATAACAACAAAGGCAAGACAAACTCTGACCAGCCTGAGCTATCTGGTAATGTTTCCTAATAATTTTTGTCATCCTAGATACAAATCCATGTACTATCAGCACTTCCCAGCCTTGATATTTTCAGTCAGAGAGGTCAACAAGGATTTTGGTTCTCCTGCCCAACGTCACACTTGGCTTCCACATCTATGGCAATGTCCAGATTGAGCTATCAATTTTCTCAAACTGCCTCTCCCTGCTCTCCACTCGAAGCAAAATGATTCCTGGTTATAAATGTGACAGGCAGCACCCTCTGCTCTCTGTCATCGGAGGTCTCAACTCCAAATCCTCAAGGCAGATGGCCTCCATCTTCAGCATCTTCAAGGTCGCACAGGTAAGGAGGCTCCACTGGATAAGAGTATGTTAGAAGCACATGCAGAAGCCAGACTCAAAATCCAAGATTTTTGTGGGGAGAGGGGCACAGCAGGAGCATGTGACTTAGTGCTATAATTGAATTTGTTTTTATGTTATATGTGTCAAGAAATACTTTTATTGCAATTCTCAACCTATAACAGTTCATTTAGTGGCCATTCAAAGTGACAGTGGCACTGAAAAGAGTGACTTATGACTGTTTTCACACTTACGACCATTGTAGCAGCTATATGGTCATCTAATCAAACTTCTGGGGCTTGGCACTTGGACACTTGGCAACTGACTCATATTTATGATGGTTACCTAGAGTTATGGGATCAATTTTTGTGACCTTCTGACAAGCAAGCCAGATGGGGAAGCCAGATTCACTTAATAACCATGTTACTAACTTAACAACTGCAGTGATTCACTTAACAATTTTGGCGAGAAAGGTCGTAAAATGGAGCAAAATTCACTTAACAAATGTTTCACTTAGCAACATGAATTTTGGATTCAATTGTGGTCGTAACTCGAGGACTACCAAAGAGATAGATAATGAGATATTTCTGAAATTCTCTACTTGCCAAGAAGAATTCCTTCCTAACATATTCTTCATAAAAGTATAGGCAACCTAACAGTACAATTTATTATCTGTGTCACGTTGATGGTTTATGTTCTTGGCTTCTGACCTGTCCCAGCCAGGCAAAATATGTAACTGATGGCTCTTGCTAAGAAGGGGAGAAGTTTAAGCCTTCCACTCAAAATGAGTCAGCATGACTGATGGGGCAGGAAACAACACAATGGGAACCTTTAAAGTCACCATAAAAGTTTACTTTGTCTTTGAAAGATGAATCTCACTTTCTCCAGCTTGGTGTTGGCTTTGAGTTCTCTCGAGAAGGCGGAACAGCTTATCCTTCCTTCTTCCAAGTTAATCAGAATGAATTTCCTCAATATGTGGGTTTAGTTCAGCTGCTCCTGCATTTCCAGTGGAACTGGGTTGGTCTTCTGGCCCCTGAAGATGACACTGGAAAACGTTTCATCTCATCTGTGACACCGATGCTCGAGGAGAAGGCCTTCACTGAAACATTGAAATCTGATGATAAATACATTGCAGTGATAAAGTTGCTTCACATTTTCAAAGCCTGGCTTAAACATGAAGTGATTATTCTGTATGGAGATTCCTCTATTATTGCATACATTCAGGTAGCTGTGCATCTGTCTGAACCACCAGGAAAAATATCCTTTCAGAAAGTTTGAATCTTAACTTCCCATTGGAAACTTAGTCTAGGGAAATCTCAAAACATATTGCAACTTATAAAGCCCTTCCATGGAGCTTTGCATTTTAGGGATCATACCGGGGATGTCTCAGAATTCAGACGTTTCATCCTGTCATTAGACCTTTGAACCCACAAGCAGAAATCTTTCTCCCACCAACTACGGTGGCATAGTTCTAGGTTGTCCAAGCCTAAAATTTCAAACCTGGTGGCATAAGGTATTCTGTTGTGAGCAGAGGAGTGGAGGACTCTTCTTGTGAAATACCTCTGGACTCGCTCAATTGTATTAATGTCCGATATACAGTGCGGGTTCCAGACAGACGAGCTGTATTCTAGAATTGGTCTAGCAAAGGTTTTGCATGCCCTAGTTTGCAGTACATTTTTTAAAAAGCATTTTCATTCACCATATCAAACATTTCTCTTTTCTCTTTCAGAAGGTGCCCTTTGCCAGGTGTGGCATGAAGAGGTGCCATGCAAGAGAAAGGAGGAGAGTTCCAGAGGGCAAGCAGGTTTACTGCTACCAATGTGCCCCTTGTCCAGAAGGGACCATTTCTAATCAGACAGGTAGAGCAGATTTCAAATGTAGATCTTTCAGAATCAAGCAAGACATTCAATAAATGATAGTATTAACCTTTTTTGGCCATTTTTGGTGGGATCAATATGTTGCAAGGTATTTATATTTTTTTCAGCAAAACCTCTGAGTTTCTGGATCTAAACTGCTCTCACTAACAAGACATGTAACAGGTTTCTGACTAGCTTTTTTACTGCTACTCTTTCATCCTGTCAATAAAACTGTCAGACTGTGGTGCTATCTCAAAATTAAATGAACTTCCAAACTGCCCATCTTTAAGGAAATCTTTCTTTAATTGAGCTCAGCCACCGGATCATGACTCCGCGTGGACAAGACTGACCTTTTGCCTCCCAATCCCTCCCTTTCTGATCCCCAAATCTCTGCTTCTCATTGGCTGTCTTCCAAGTCATTCTTCAGACTTCTTTTCCTCGTCATTTCCCAGGAATGTGCCCCCTCCCCTCTCTCCACGACAACCAGGCTTCAGAGGGATTTATCAGGCAAAAGTTTCAGAGTTTATCTTTCGCTCTCCTCTGCTCCCTCTCTATGCCAGCATTGCAACGCTGACAAAAACTTTTTATCAATCATTTCCTGAAGGAGTGGAGTGTGAAGGTTAGGGTTTAATTTTTTATTTTTGAAGGTGTGCCTTTTCTATCAGCACTATTGGTCTCTCAGGAAAGTGATAGACCTATAGTCTGTAGAGATTCTCAGTCATCCAGGTCATAGTTGTCCCAAAGGTGTTTTTTCAGGAGGCAACTGGACTTTCTTCTTCTTTCTTTTGAAAACTTGTCGCTTCTCCTCCAAGAAGCTTCTTCAGCCCTGACAGGATAGTGGGGAATGGAAGGATTTATATTCCTTTCAGACAGCTGATTATTTGCATCCTTTTAAAGGGTCATTGAAGCACTTGAAGGTTTATCTGTGTCACCTGAGTGGTGCTCCTGGTTCCTGCAGTCTGCAATTTTTTCCTCTGGAAATCCATTCCTTATTCCCACACCATTCCAAGGGTGTTCATCCCAAATTGTATAGCTAAACCGGTCTGGTCATGAAGCTCTTCCAATGAAGTGAAACATCTTCAAAGAAAAACAAGAAAGTCCAGTTGCCTCCTGAAAAAGCACCTTTGGGACAACCATGACCTGGATGATTGAGAATCTCCACAGACACTTCCGGTGCAGAGTTTAAATTAGCCTTATATTGTGAATACCCCATTCACTATTTGTAAGATGTATAAGAGAAATGAGCTTCTATATCATCCCTAACCATGAAAGAATCAATAAAACCCTTCTTCTACAAACACCTGCATTATTGATCAGTTTAGAAGGCTACAACTCATCACTATGCTTAGCCCTATATGAAAAAAAAAAAATCAGGCATAGGCCACACTCCATCTTGGGTGCAGTTGCTCAGGGGTTTCAGGTAGGCCAAATCCCACCTGGACCGTGACCCTCAATTCCATCTGCTTGAAGAACAAGAGACCACCAACATGTTTTTCCCCTTCTGGTACATGTAGGAAAGCTATTGCTAAGTGGGTAGGATGTTAGTCTTCCTTGCAATTATCAGAAGTACAGTAATTCATAATGTATCCCCCACAGATTTTTACCCACAAAAGTCTTCCAAGGCAAAACCTGTCTAAATGAAATAAAGTCTGAGCTCTCCCAAGAAGAACTGGGAGCTTCTCAACAAACTTTGATTTATGGTCTAAGAAGGAAGTCAGAAATATGAATGGGCTGGCTATCCTGCTCTTTCTCTTTTGGCTACTGTCTTCAACAGCTCATAAGATTATGCAAACTGTATGTGTAGCGAGGAACCCTCTGCGAACTGTGGAGGACTATTACAAGCCTGGAGATCTCATTATTGGGGGGAATTTGCTCCTGGAAAAGTTTGCTCTCTTTGAAATGATAGAGTTTCACCATCAGCCATCAAAGACAGGAATTACAAAAAGGTATGTTTTACTCAGAAGGGAGTATATTCGAAGAGTTTCTGCATTTGGGGATTCAGGAGACAACTTTCATAAATTAATATTCTTTCCCCCCCCATATTTTATTTTTTTTATTTATATAACACTCAATTTTCATCAAAAAGTGTGTATTCTGGGTACAGTTATATTTTGATAGTCATATTTATACATCTTCATTATATTTAGTCATCACCATCATATTAAAAATATAACATAAGGATATAATAACCTTAATATTTAACATTTAACATCATATTCTTTTTTAACGACTCCTTTGTACCATTTCTTCCCTTTATATCTCTTCCTTTCTAACCTCTGTTTCTATTATCGAGCCATTGATAAAATGTGTCCCATATCAAAAAATATTCTGTTTCTTCTTTATCCTTAATAGCAAGTGTTAATCTATCCATTTCTGCACAATCTAATAATATCACATGTGGTGTTCATGCCCAAGAGCTAGAAAATATTGGATAAAAATACAGACATGGCTGGAAAAAAATGATAAAACTACATATTAATCTGAAACCAGAGATATTTTTGCTGGGCCTTCTACCAGCAAAATATGATAAAAAGACTGCATATTTGATTTTGCATATATTAACAGCAGCCAGAATTGTATTTGCGCAACAATGGAAAAGTGATGAGACCCTGTCTGAGGAGAATGTAATTTAAAAACATAAATTATTATTCTACTGATGTTTTCAGGTTCTGTTGCAGTTTAGAAGCCTTGGTGCTTTCCTGGATAAAGAAACCTTCTTATAAAATAGGGTAGAATGTTCCAGTTTCTTCAGGAGGATGATAAACAGCACAATAAGTGAGGAAGGGTATATGTGTCAGAAACTGTGCTGGCTTAGTGAGAAAGGCCATTTCTATTATTTATTTGGAGAAAAAAATCATGCTGGAAAACTCAAAGAAAAGGCAAATCTAGTTACAGTGGATAGCTAATCAATCTTGTTGCCTTCAGTTGAGTATTATGAACAGAGTGGTTCCCAGAGCTGAAATACCGTATAAGACACACTTTTCCCCCCTAAAAGAGGATGAATATTTGGGTGTGTCTTATACACTCAATGTAGCCCCACACAACCACCAGCCCCCACCCTTTGGCCTCCACACATCCTCTCAAACAAAGCTTTTGGTGCTTTTGGATGCTGCAAACGCAGCCTCTCAAACAGAATTTTTTTCCTTATTTTCCTCCCCCCCAAAATAAGGTGTGTCTTATACTCTGGAGCGTCTTATACTCAAAAAAATATGGTACTCTTTAAAGGGATAATCTAACAGCCAAATCTATTAAAGATATTTCTCATGTGGATGAGTCATGGCTGTTTAGGATTGTAAATCTGTAAACGACTCAGCCGCTCTCTACATGGACCAGGGTTTCACGAGGAAGGTCCATCCACACAATCTTCTTAATCACATTTTCTTGTCCAAGGACACACAACAAATATATTCACCACCTCAAAGTCTGGGAGAGCACACCTACAAACACACTTAAGGAAAGGCAACCTCCCTTAGCACCCAAAATGTTCTCTCTAATATTTCCTAATGTTTTCTCATTACAGCATTGAATTCAAGAATTATCCGCTAATTCTGGCCTTGGTACATGCAGCCACAAAAATCAACAAGGATTTGGTTCTGCTTCCCAACATCACACTCGGCCTCCATATTTATGACAATAAGGAGACTGTTAGGAGGATTTCCTGGAACAGCCTCTCTCTTCTGTCCACACGACGCCGAATGGTTCCAGCTTACAAATGTGACAAGCAGGATACATTGCTCTCTGTTGTTGGAGATGTCAACTCCCAATACTCAAGGCAGATGGCCTCCATCTTCAGCATCTTCAAGGTCACACAGGTAAAGGGGTCATGTAGGGTACCAGTATAGAGCAAGCACAAAGCATAAGCACACACAGAAGTCAAAAATGAAGCCAAAGTTACTTGAGGAAAATCAGGACCTCGTCCCTGCCCTCCCTCCATGACCAGTTTGTCTTCGGCCAATGAAGGTTCACCTAGGTGATTTGCGAGCGCTGAGTTGTTTGGGGTAATTCACATTCTTTCTCAGGGTGCATGTCCCTGAGGGCTGGCACAAACTGGTTCTGAGCTTCTCTGTTCTTCGTCAAGCTGTCATTCCCCCGCTCCCTATTTCTCATCAATTACTCACAGGAGTTTATTGCCCATTTGCTTCCCCATGCCCACCACTCTACCCCACAGCCATTGATGACAGGATGCCAGTGAGGCGCCAGGCCAAAGATGGCAGACCTGACATCCAAAGATGCAGTTTAGCTACAGCCATCTGGTCACAGGGAAACTGAGCTCAGTTAAAGTGACGAGATAGATAAAAATAAAAACTATACTTATTAGTGAAAAGTACACTTCTAGAAAAGGGAGAGGTGGCTCAGTGGCTAAGACGCTGAGCTTGTCGATCGAAAGGTCAGCAGTTCAGCAGTTCGAATCCCTAGTGCCACATAACAGGGTGAGCTCCCAGCTTCTGCCAACCTAGCAGTTCGAAAGCATGTAAAAAATGCAAGTAGAAAAATAGGGACCACCTTTGGTGGGAAGGGAACAGCTTTCTGTGCGCCTTTGGCATTGAGTCATGCCGACCACATGACCATGAAGACATCTTCGGACTGTGCTGATTCTTCAGCTTTGAAACGGAGATGAGCACTGCCCCCTAGAGTCAGGAACGACTTGCATATGTGCAAGGGGAACCTTTTCCTTTATCTTTTACACTTGTAGAATAAACCAATCTTTTTTTATACATAGCAAAGAAAAAGCATTGAGCTGCATGATCTTCACACACCTGTTGAAATCCAAATTTGTAATTGTAACTGGGAGCCTTTCACTCCATTCAAAGTGAATCAATTGAACAAGCAGAGCAGAAAGCTACTAATACTGAGTATTAACAGGAGGATATAATAACGTCATAAAAAACTGTGACAACTCTCCTTTTCTGCAGCTAGGTTTCCACTTCCTCAAGTTCACTCAGGAAGACAGAACTGTGTTTCCTTCCTTTTTCCGGATCAGCCCCAATGAACTTCCTCAGTATGAGGGTTTAGTCCGGCTGCTCCTGCATTTCCAGTGGAACTGGGTTGGGCTGGTGGCCCCTGAAAATGACAATGGAGAACTTTTCATCTCAACTCTGAGGCCGATGCTCCAGGAGAAGGAGATCTGCCTGGCCTTCACTCACCTGTTGGAATCTGTATCTGTTGCCTTTTCAGCGGAAAAGTGTATTTCTTTAATCCCAACGTGGAATAAAGCTGAGGTGATTATTGTATTTGGAGAATCCAAGTGTATTAAAACTATATATATTTCTCTTTATCATTTGGAAAGGAGCAGCAATTTTGCAGTTAGAATTGTTTGGATCCTGACTTCTCATTGGGAAATAAGCGCATCTCACAAAATGTTGAAGTATCTAAAGCCTTTCCATGGTACATTGCATTTCAGGGATCACAGCCATGATATCCCAGAATTCAGGCATGTTCTTCTATCTTTAGACCCCTTGAACCCTCAAGGAGACCCCTTTCTCCTTCTCTGGTGGGAAAGGATTTTTGGCTGCAAGATCCAGAAACCAGGAGTGAGACTTAAAAAGGGGGAAAAACAATGTACGGGAAAGGAGAATTTAAAGGATGTGCCATCTTACATGTTTGAAACAAGCATGACAGGCGAAAGTTACAATATCTACAATGCTCTTTATGCTGTGGCACACGCTTTACATACCATGCGTGGATCAGGAGCACAACCAGCCATGATGAGGCTTGGAAAAAGGATCACAAATGTCCAGTCATGGCAGGTAATTTCTCTGAATTTTACCCAGTCCACAGATCCTTAGAACTTTCCATGGACAATTTCTTGCTTAATTTATTCAATATAAATCTTCGAGACCGCCTACTGCCACCGACGACCTCCCACCGACCCGTGCGCTCCCACAGAGAGGGCCTCCTCGGGGTGCCATCAGCCAAACAATGCAGGCTGGTGACCCCCAGGGGGAGGGCCTTCTCTGTGGGGGCACCTACCCTCTGGAATCAGTTGCCCCCTGAGATAAGGAGAATCCATGACCTCAGTGCCTTCCGCCGTGCCCTTAAAACTTTCTTTTTTCAACAAGCCGGGCTGGCTTAATTTCTTTTTAAGGGTTTTATTAATTGTTCTGTTTTGCTGATCGTTTTTAATTAACGGGGCCAAATCTATATATATTTTTAAATGTGTTTTAATATTTGTATCTGGTGTTTTTATCTGGCTGTTCACCGCCCTGAGTCCTCAGGGAGAAGGGCGGTATACAAATTCAAAAATAAATAAATAAATAAATAAATAAATATATCCATGTCACCCTTATACCTATATCTGAAAACAAAATAAATTATTAAATAGCAAGCAGCAAACAAATAGCAGTTATTAAAATATGATAAAATATGTTAATGGTTTGATTAAAAACGGAGGCATACAAATTTCAGCAGGTATAGAATTGCATCAAAAGGGATGTGGTGGGTCAGTGGATAAGACGCTGAGCTTGTCGATCGAAAGATTGGCAGGTCAGCAGTTCAAATCCCTAGTGCAGCATAATGGGGTGAGCTCCCATTACTTGTCTCAGCTTTTGCCAAACTAGCAGTTCGAAAGCACATAAAAAATGCAAGTAAGAAAATAGGGACCACCGTTGGTGGGAAGGGAACAGCGTTCCATGCACCTTTGGCGTTGAGTCTTGCCAACCACATGACCAGGGAGACATCTTCGGACACTGCTGGCTCTTTGGCTTTGAAACGGAGATGAGCACCACCCCCTAGAGTCAGGAACGACTAGCACATATGTGCAAGGGGAACCTTTACCTTTACCTTAGAATTGTACCTGGAATGGGGCATTAAAATATTTATATCTAATAATTATACTATTTTAAGTGAAGTTGAGGAAGCCAGAAAAAACACATGATAATAGAGTATTTTTGAAATGTTGGGGTCAATCTCTAATTCTCCAATACGAGATACCTATGATTTCACGCTGTTCCCGATCACTCAGTTATACCCCAATCTAACGTTAAAGATTGGCAATTATCTCCTAAGATGATGGTCAGCAGAGAATGATAGTATCCATGATGTCTCATTTTTAATTACTCCACTTTCCAAGGGTCTCTTTTCTTTCAGCTTCTTGCCTATTTGAAGAATGTCAGGTTCAATAACAGTGCTGGAAATGAAGTCTCATTCTTAGAAAATGGACCCATGTCTGCTCGCTATGATCTTCTCAACTGGATTTTCCTCCCCAATCAATCTTTTGTCCACATGAAAGTTGGGCAAATGGATCCCGGGGTTTCCCAAGGCCAGGATTTTACCATCAACTCCAATGCAATCATCTGGGCCAAAAAGGTGGGCTGGAAGGAAATGTCCTGAATTCAGAAAAAGGTTCATGTTCTCCTAGACATGCATAGAGCTTTCTTCCCAAGGTCACTCATGCTGCTTTACCCCTTGTGAAAAAGCCTCATGTAGACCACAGTTCCCTCCAAATGGCCTGGCTGGGCTTGCTTCCTCAGGAGAAAAAATATGGTGCAGGTCAGCTGAGGGAGCAGATAATTGCAGACACTTAAACTGTAGGGTGATGATGGTGGATGCAGTTGGGTCTTTGCACCATGACTCTCGCTGGGATGGCTGGGGGCTTTACACTTTGAGGCTATGCTGGAGCAGAAGGGGCTTCATGCTTTGCTACAATGCTGGAACATCTAAAGCTTTCCACTACACTGTGGTTCAAGGGTTAGTGCCTCAATTAGGTTCAATGAGTTCAATAGCAATAGCAATAGCACTTAGACTTATGTACCACTCTGTTTACAGAGTCAGAAGAATGGAAGGCTAAGTCAACGTTGAACAGGGGAGAATTGAACTGTTGTCAGTTGGAAAAGTTGCACTTTAACCACTGTGCCACCAAGGCTTTTAAAGAAGAGAAGAGAAGAGAAGAGAAGAGAAGAGAAGAGAAGAGAAGAGAGGAGAGGAGAGGAGAGGAGAGGAGAGGAGAAGAGAAGAGAAGAGAAGAGAAGAGAAGAGAAGAGAAGAGAAGAGAAGAGAAGAGAAGAGAAGAGAAGAGAAGAGAATTTCTCCTTAGTTCTAGGTTGTTTCTCTCCTTGATTAGTTTCCACCCACTGCTTCTTGTCCTGCCTTCAGGTGCTTTGGAGAATAAATTGACTCCCCCTTCTTTGTGGCAGCTCCTGAGATATTGGAACACTGCTAACATGTGACCCCTAGTCCTTCTTTTCATCATGAGATAACTGCCAGTCCCAAACATCAATTGGTTAGCTGGTTGTGCCACTCGTTTCAAATCTCCAGGAACTCTTCTGGTTGATGTTTCAGGATGGTGAACCTGTTCTTCTAAAGACCTTTTGAAGATGGAGCTCTCAAGGGGGAAATTAAATGATGTATGACCATCGAATAGGCCATCTCAATCTTTTCTCTTTTCTCTCTTAGAAAGTGCCCTTTTCCAGGTGTGGAAGGAAGAGGTGCCAGGCAGGTGAGAAGAGAACTGTTCCAGAGGGTGAGCAGGTTTGCTGCTACAAATGTGACCCTTGTCCAGAAGGCACCATTTCTAATCAGACAGGTAGAGCAACCTTCAAATGTAGATCTTTCACGTTCAATATATTAAAATATTAAGAGATTTTGGTGATTTGTGGTAGGTCTGACATGCTTCACAATAGAGATGCAAATTGTTGTGCCCCCACCAGCCTAATTTCCCATTTCTGAGGAACTAGGATTGGCAAGATTGCTCTCTTCCCCAAATTTACAAGGTGCATTCAAGACAAAAATTTGCAGATTTCTTGCTCTCTTTTCCATTCCTCTTATCACATACCAATAGGAAAAGCAACTATGACCATTTCCCTGAATGTATGGTACAATGTGGTTGAGTGCTCAAATTTTGTATTATTTCACCCCTGGTTTGTGTGCATTTGTGTGTTACCTTATGATTTTATAACACTCCGAATGATGATGAAACTATGCAGCAAAAAGCAGGATTCCTGATTGAGAGAGCAGTCAATTTTCTTAGGCTTCCATTTCAAAGTGGGGGGAAAATCAAGTGCCAACCCTTCCCTCCCTTGGAAAAAAATTGCAAAATTTGGTACAGGTGACTACAAAGACAGAGATCTTAATATCTGAACAACTGATCCTCCAGGCTCATTTTGAACTAAAAACAAGTTGATTTTTACAGGGCAGGATAAGCTGCCCAGGGTGTCCTTTCTTATTGAATTGACAGATGTGGAAAGAAGTCATATCTGAGATTTGTGGCAGGAGGTATAATTCTTACTGTAGTTGCTCCAGAAATATTTAGATGAAGACTCTTCATTTCAGATGCAGCTCGCTGTGACTCCTGCCCAGAAGAACAATATCCCAACAAGGACAAGGACCAATGCATTGCCAAGAAGATCCACTTCCTTGCCTATCAAGACACTCTGGGATACTCTTTAGCATCTCTTACTCTTTCTCTCTCTTTGATCACATTGGCAGTTCTAGTAATTTTCCATAAGCATCGTGACACACCGATCATCAAGGCCAACAATCGAGATCTGACATACATCCTCCTGGTCTCCCTCCTGCTCTGCTTCCTCTGCTCCTTCCTCTTCATTGGTCAACCAAGGAAGCTCACCTGTCTCTTACGGCAAACTGCCTTTGCCATTCTCTTTTCCCTTGCAGTTTCCTCTGTGTTGGCAAAAACTGTCATGGTGGTTCTGGCCTTCATGGCCACCAAGCCAGGAAACAAAACAAGGAAACTCTTAGGAAAACCACTGACCAACTCCATTGTCATAGTGTGTCCCCTGGTCCAAGCACTTCTTTGTGCCACCTGGCTGGGAACCTCTCCTCCATTTCTAAACTTGGACTTCCACTCCTTGTTTGGAGAGACCATCTTGGAATGTAATGAAGGCTCAGCTTCAATGTTTTACACTGTCCTTGCCTTCCTGGGTTTTTTGGCCCTCATCTGTTTCACTGTGGCCTTTCTGGCTAGGAAATTGCCTGATAGTTTTAATGAAGCCAAGTTCATTACTTTTAGCATGCTGGTCTTCTGCAGTGTTTGGATCACCTTCCTCCCCACCTACCTGAGCACCAAAGGGAAGTCCATGGTGGCCGTGGAGATTTTCTCCATTTTGGCCTCTGGAGCTGCTCTTTTGACTTGTATTTTTTTTCCAAAATGCTACATTATCCTACTAAGACCCGATCTGAATTGTAGGGAAAATATGATAAGAAACAAAAATCCTTGACCTTTTTCTCATTATTTATATTTTGAAAGAAAGTTTTCTTATTATTCTCTTTGACTTTTGTCTTTATTCATTCTGAGCCTTCTCTCTCCTGACTTCATTTTGCAGCTTTGGGCTATCTGCTGATATTCTGCCTTAGTTAAGTGTCCCTCTTTCCATTTTTTTGAACTTGTCCTTTGAAACATGTAAGGTAGACAGTACACTGCAGTAAACCATCAAGAAAATCTAGGTATTTAAGGTAAAGGTTCCCCTCACACATATGTGCTAATCGTTCCCGACTCTAGGGGGCAGTGCTCATCTCCGAGCAGTTAGCACTGTCTGAAGACATCTCTGTCGTCATGCCAAAGGCACACAGAACACTGTTACCTTCCCACCAAAGGTGGCCCCTATTTTTCTACTTGCATTTTTTATATGCTTTCGAACTGCTAGGTTGGCAGAAGCTGGGACAAGTAATGGGACCTCACTCCGTTCCACAGCACTAGGGATTCAAACTGCTGAACTGCCGACCTTTCGATTGACAAGCTCATTGAACCACCGTGTCCCTTATCTAGGTGTTTACTAGGAGTCAAAAACAACCTGATGACATTTTAAAAAATCCTCAGTAAGAATCTATGTATGAGAGACCTGAAGTATCTCTAAACATTTTACATTTCTGCTTTAGGAAATTGGTTCCATTGTTGGGCTGCAGAGACACCTAGTAAGGGTCAGGGCCGGATTTTCCTATAGGCTAACTAGGCTTCAGCCTAGGGCCTCAAGATCAAGAGGGGCCTACATTCAAATTGTTAGCAAAATTAAAATTACACTTTCACTATAGGTGAAAGGGCCTCATAAGTGGAATAGCCTAGGGCCTCTTTTCATCTAAATCCGGCCCTGGTAAGGGTTTACCACACAGGTGGGTTCTACTTACCTTTACTACCAGTTCGCAATGGGGCCGCACTCTGCATATGCAGAGACTTCCTGATGACGTCTGGGTCAGTGGGCAGAGCTTCTTACTGGTTTTACTATCGGTTCTTGTGAACCAGTTTGAACCGGGGGCAACCCACCACTGGTTTACCAATCTTGCAACAATTCCCCTCACATCCTGGACATAAACTGTTTCAACTCCTACACTCCTGCATTGCACACCCGAACAACTAGACACAAGAACAGTTTTTCCCCGAACACCATCACTCTGCTAAACAAATAATTCCCTCAACACTGTCAAACTAGTTACTAAGTCTGCACTGCTATTAATCTTCTCATCGTTCCCATCACCCATCTCCTTCCACTTATGACTGTATGACTGTAACTTTGTTGCTTGTATTCTTCCAATTTAGATCGATATTGCTTCCTGATTGCTTATTTGTACCCTATGACTATCATTAAGTGTTGTACCTTATGATTCTTGACGAATGTATCTTTTCTTTTATGTACACTGAGAGCATATGCACCAAGACAAATTCCTTGTGTGTCCAATCACACTTGGCCAATAAAGAATTTTATTCAATTCTATTCTATTCTATTCTATTCTATTCTATTCTATTCTATTCTATTCTATTCTATTCTATTCTATTCTATTCTATTCTATTCTATTCTATTCTATTCTATTCCATTCCATTCCATTCCATTCCATATTTTCCATGTAAACCTAGAAATAGCCTTTTGCCATTGTTTCAATGAAATATCAGCACCACTACTGGTAGAGTCTGGAATAAAAAACAGTCTGGTAAAAACCTTCAGCATAATTACACTCAAAAAAGTGTAAATGTTGTAGTTGTAAGAGTCACCTCGAGGTATCTGACCTTTTACATCACCTTAAAATGTGATATCTTTATCAAAAATTCATAATCTTTAGTCCTATTTTAAACCAGCATTTTTTCCTGTTTATTTTAAAACTGGCTAAGTCCCAATATTGGTCCTCCCTTCATATCCAACAACTTTTCAGGTATTGGGACAAAATTTCTTTATCAGAAAAATATAGCATAACACTTTTTCTGATTTCAACTACTTTAAACTAGTATTAACATCTTGTGAGATCTTGCTACCTAATTTTAACTTCTATGGGAGAAATTAATTTCTAATTTTACCCCTGACAAGTATAAGTAAATCAGTTATTTGGTATAAATTTTGGAATGATTGTTCAAACTTACTAGAATACCACTCACTGTCCTGAGCCACTATGTCCCACTAGCACACAATACTATCCAAACAAACTATGGCTCAGATGAAACTCCATCTTGTTTCCAGGGGTTCAATTTGATGTAGGTCAAATACCCAACTTCACCTTGACTCTCAAGTCTATCTGCACTAGGTATTAACAACAAGGGACACAAACATGTTTTTCTTCATTCTGGTTTATAAATAAAATCTATTGCTGAGTGAGTAGGAGGATTCCTTTTCTTTGCAATTGTCAGAAGAGTAATTCTTAATGTATCCCTCTGGATTTCTGTCCTCCAAATTATTCCAGGATAAAAGCTGCTTTGAAAATATGTTCCAAAGTCTTCCACTAGGGGCAGGATATGACAAATTAGCTTGTTTTGAAAAGAGTCATTCTTGGGTTTGTTGAGACTCAGCTATCCTTACTTTTCTCTTTGTTCATGCCTGCAATTCAGCTTCTGCACGAATCTTGATTTCTGACTTAGGAAGGACAAGAATGACTGGGCTGCCTCTCCTGCTGCTGCTCTTCTGCCTCTCTCCTCCAACTGCTGCTAAGAGGAGGCAAACCATATGTGTGTTGAGGAATTTGTTCAAGCCTTATGGAAAATGGAACTATTACAGGCCTGGTGATCTCATTATTGGTGGGAATTTACCCCTGGCAACTCTTATGTCCTCCAGTGTCCCACGTTTTCAGAAGGAACCATTCCGGCTTCCTTTTAAAATTTTGTAAGTTTCACCTGGCAGGGAAAGATGCGTGAATTTTTGGTTGTGTTCTGGATTCAGGGATTCCTTTTAGAAATCCTTGTTCTACTGTTCTAATGTTCTAGTGTAGTTCTTCTTGTCTTTGATCATAAAACAGGTTAGGATTCTCAATCATTCTAGAACTCTATATCCGGAAAGTGATAGACCATATAAAAAGTGAGGAAGGAACGACAAATTTGAAACTGTGCTGGCCTAAAACAAAGTTGACATAATGTTCATTTGGGAAGAAAAGCATGGTAGAAAACTCAAAGAAAAGCTTAATCATTTTTCAATGTATGGTACTGTAATAAGACCAGTTTTGTGTTGTGGTGACCAGTACAAAAATATTTTGAGACATTGGAAAGCATCCAGAGAAGAGCCACAAAGATGATTACGGGACTGAAGGCTAACATGTACAAAGAATGGTTACAGAAATGGGGTCTAATGAAAAGAAGGAGTAGGGGGGGACATGATAGCACTGTTCCAATATTTAAAGAGCTTCTACAAAGACAAGAGGATCAAACTATTTTCCAAAGCACCAAGATAAGAAACAACCGACAGAAGATAGAGTAATTAATAAGATTATGGAATGTGCAGAAATGGACAGACTTACAAAAGAATTACAAGATAAAGAGGAACATGATTATTATCTAGTATGGGAAAAGTGGTATACCTGGTTGAAAAATAGAAAAAGGAAAAAAGAATAGGGAGTAATTGGAGTTACAGAAACAGGAACATAAATCACTAACATAAATTAACAATGAATCATAAAGATAGATGTATGAGTAAGATCAAACAGGGAAGAGTCAAAACACAAATAAGAACATACATTACTGTTGTTTATTTGACAATATATATTTGACAAAATGTATATTTGAAATCTTTGTTTACATGTTTTGTTCTGTATGTTTTGTTGTCACTAGTTCTGTTTTGTTTGTACTTTTAAACAAATAAAAATTTATTTAATTAAAAAAAATGATTGATGCCATTAAATTTCCCATCCATAGTCTGGCAAAAATTTAATATTACAAATTTAGGTGATATGTGTATGTTTATATGTGATGAATATAATTTCAATACAGATCTGGTGTCCTTTTTGTTTTTGCTTTTGGCATGACTTTAAGATTCATCTTCCAAACTTTCCTGGATTTGAATGCCCAGGATGATGGATGAAAGTCACTGAAATATGGGTATGCCATCTAGTAAATGCTTGATTACCAATTGGATATCAATATTTTTCTTAGAAATATATTGACATGTCATTAATTGTGATTGTAATTCATCTACCATGTTCTTCAAAGTAGCATATTAGAATCTGGTGCCAAATAACTTCTTAAATTGCTTGTGAACAAGATATTTTCCATTGGAGAAGGAAAAAATGAGACCATTTACAGTAAATGTCAAATACGTTATTGGAATATAATTGAATTTCATTAAAAATAATCATTCCATTCAAAAAAAGAAAAAGAAAAAAAAAGAAACAACCACTGGAAACTAACCAAGGAGAAAAACAACTTAGAACTAAGAAGAAATTTCCTAATGGTGAAAGCAATTAACTAATGGCACAGCTTGCCTTTCTCCTTTGTTGCTAAGCCATACAATTTTAATCAAATGGCATCTATGAAAACAACAACAACACACAACTCAATGAAATCTGTGAATTGCTGAATGTCCCCAGCACACACTTCTCCCCTGTAATGTTTCCAATGTTTTCTTTACTATAGACCCATACTCAAGAAATACCAGCAATTCCTGGCCTTAGTGTTCGCAGTCACAGAGATCAACAAAGATTTGGTTCTCCTCCCCAACATCAGCCTTGGCTTCCAGATTTGTGACAATGTTCGGATGGAGAGGAAGATTTCTTTAATCAGCCTCTCCTTTCTCTCCACACGAGGCCAAATGGTTCCAGGTTACAAATGTGACAGGCAGGACAATCTGCTCTCTGTCATTGGAGGTGATAATCCCAAATCCTCAAGGCAGATGGCCTCCATCTTCAACATCTACAAGGTCCCACAAGTAAGAGGGATCCATTGGATACAGTATGGTGTAGACAAAGAATGGAAACACACACAGAAGACAAGAATGTAGATGATGTTGCTGAGGAGAAAATCCTATTCATTTGTTTTATTTTATGTTTCAAGATATATAACTCCAACAGACCGATAATGAAATAATTCTGTACTTGCCAAGAAGAATTAATTTCTAACTTTCATAAAAGTTTACCCACCATTTCATTGCAATTTATTACCTGTATCAGGTTAACAATTTCTTAGCTTTTGAAATCTTACAACCAGACAAAATATACTGCTCAAAAAAATAAAGGGAAGACAAGCAGAAGACATCCGAGATCTGAATGAATGAAATAGCCTTATTAAGTACTTTGTTCGTTACATACAGTAGTTTATACACTGCTCAAACAACTAAAGGGAACACAAAACTACTGTATGTAACGAACAAAGTATTTAATAAGGCTATTTCATTCATTCAGATCTCGGATGTCTTCTGCTTGTCTTCCCTTTATTTTTTTGAGCAGTGTATATAACTATCAGCTCTTCCTAGGAAGAGAAGCAGCTTAATCTTATTTTAATCAAAAGTAGGACTGCCCGACTGCTAGGTAAAAAAGCATACAATAGGGATCCCTAAAGTCAGCACAAAACTTTACTTTGTCTTTGAAAGAGAAATCTCTGTTTCTGCAGCTCGGTGTTGGCTTTGAGTTCCCTCAGGAATACAAACCAGTTTATCCTTCCTTCTTCCGGATTAATCCCAGTGACTTTCCTGAATGTGTGGGTTTAGTCCAGCTGCTCCTGCATTTCCAGTGGAACTGGGTTGGCCTTGTGACTTCTGAAGATGACAGTGGAGAACATTTCATCTCATCTCTGATGCCAATGCTGAAGGAGAAGGAGATCTGCCTGGCCTTCAATGAAAAGTGGAAATCTGAAAAATTTACTGTTGCACTAAATAAACTAATGTTCAAAATTTTGTTTAAAGTTGAAGTCATTATTCTGTTTGGAGACTCCACTGATATTGCAAATTTTTTGACAGTTCTGAACGTTTGTGTAAAATATAGAAAGGTCGAGAATGTTTGGATCCTAACATCTCATTGGAAATTTACTCTGGTTGGAGACCTTTTTCAAGGTGTAAAGATTTTGCATGGGGCTTTGCAGTTTAGGGACCAGACTGGCAATGTCTCAGAATTCAGCCACTTCCTCCTGTCTTTAGACCATTTGATCAAAGAAGGCGACGTCTTTCTCATGAATTGGTGGGAAATGCTCTTTGACTGCCTTAGTCCCAAACCAGGCAGGGTCCTTCCAAAAGGGGAACAACAGTGTACAGGAAAGGAGAATTTACAGGATCTTCCAGATGTAATTTTTGAAATGAACATGACCGGTGAAAGTTACAATATCTACAATGCCATTTATGCAGTGGCACACGCATTGCATGCGATTTATGGATCAGTAGCGCGACCAGCTATGCTGAAGCTTGGAAAGAGGATCTCAAATGTCCATCCATGGAAGGTAATCTCTGCGACATTTTATCCAGTCCACAGATCAATAGAGAGGAAGCTTCTCATATGCATTTCTTGATATCGTATCAAGGGATATCATATCATTGCATCTCTGAACAGATTAAAACAGCAATTAGTTTAACAAAACAATAATATGAATTAAATATAATACCATATTTTTTGGAGTATAAGATGCACCTTTTCCTTCAAAAAAGTGGGTGAAAATCTGGGTGCGTCTTATACTCCGAATGCCCAGCTTCTCAAAGGGAGGTTTCAGAGGCTGAAAAAAGCATCAGAAACAAAGGTTCAGAAAAAAAAGTCGCCAAACAGAGTTTAGAAAAGAAGCCCCCAAACAGAGCTTCAGGAAAAAAGCCCCCAAACAAAGCTTCAGAGGCTTTTTTTCTGAAGCTCTGTTTCGGAGGCTTTCAGAGGAAGATTTTTTTTCCCCTGAAACAGAGTTTCAGAAGTTTCAGAGGCAGAAAAAAAAAAAGCAAGGCACAGAGCTCACAACCAAGGAACTTGTTGCTAAAATTCACCTCTGGGAACAGCTGATTGAGGTATTCCGGGAGGCCTCCACCTGTCAATCAGCTTTTTTCTTATTTTCCTCCCAAAAAGCTAAGGTGTGTCTTATTCTCCAAAAAATACGGTACTTTGTTGAAAGAGGGGACAAAAGAAAAGTCATCTAAACCACTTGTGCATAATATCCATAGAGGGAAAATCTTCGTATATGGTCCTGAAAAGGTACTCAACAGTTTCCTGAGTTTCAGGTGGTGACCAGGGAGGACATGTCATCCCAGAACATTATGATAATCTGGGTGCATTTCAGGGATGGGTTCTAAAACTTTTTACTACCGGTTCTGTGGGTGTGGCTTATTTTGTGGGCATGGCTTGATGGTCATGTGACAATTATTTAGGATTTAGCAGAGGTACTGGTCTACCAGGCTTTTAACTGCTTCCAGAGCTGTACCGATCTACCCATTTATTTTTTGCAGGCACTGGTCTACCCATTTATTTCTGCAGGCACTGATCTACTCATGTATTTTTGCAGGCACTGGTTTACCCATTTATTTTTGCAGGCACTGATCTACTCATGTATTTTTGCAGGCACTGGTCTACTCATTTGTTTTCTTTTAACACTGATCAGCTGTAGGGCGGCCCTTTGAAGCCCCGTGGCAAGAGTTTAAACCGTTTTTTTCCCTCTAGCCATCAGCTGGGACTCAGGAGGCAGCAATAGATTGGGGGTGGGGCCAAATAAAAGGTAAGAATAACATGGGGGTGGGGGGGCACAGGGGGTGGGGGGCACTGGGGGGGCAGAACCGGTTCGGTGATGTCATATCGTCACTGCTACCGGCTCAGGAGAACCGGGCCGAACCAGGAGGAACCCACCACTGGTGCATTTGTGCAAGATGCAAGATGTTTCAGCAGGACAGTTGAGGTTCTAATGGGTATATCTGCAGAACCTCCTCAGTATTTAGCTTGAATCCAGCCTGTAAAAGATACTCAGCTCAATTCATTTTAACCTCAAATTATGTTTCTATGAGTTACCATCTTGTGTGACTCCACCCCATTTGTTTAGTTTGCTGTTTCTTGTAGTGTTCAGCTTCTTAACAGAACAGAATGACAGAATTGGAAGAGACTTTGGAGGTCTTCTAGTCCAACCCCCTACTCAAGCAGGAAGCCTTTATAGCATTTCAGATAAAAGACTGTCCAATCTCTTCTTACAAACCTCCAGTGTTGAAGCACCCCACAACTTCTGGAGGCAGATTGTTCCACTGATTAATAGTAACTTCTAACTGTCAGGAAATTTCTCCTTAGTTCTAGGTTGATTCTCTCCTTGGTTAGTTTCCATCCATTGTTTCTTGTCCTGCCTTCCAAATATCACGTGAGGAAAACCATACAATGAAAAATTGGGATGTGGTTTTAAAATCTTTGTGTGTAAGTACAGGTAGTCCTTGAGTTACAACAGTTCCTTTAGTGACCATTCAAAGATACAACAGCATCAGTGGTGGGATTCAACCAGTTCGCACCACTTCGGCAGAACCGGTTGTTAAATTGCTGGCTGGCCCCTCCCCTCCCTGCCCAGCCCCTTCCAGAAGTCCCCATGCACCCCGTTTTGGCTCCCAGGAGGCTGCAGGGAGGCCTACTAGGCCCAAAACGGGGCAGGTGGGAGGAACGCCCCCCCCCCCAGCCTGTTTTTGCTCCCAGGAGGCTGCAGGGAGGCCTACTAGGCCCAAAACGGACCGGGTGGGAGGAACCCCTCCCCCACAGCCTGTTTTTGCTCCCAGGAGGCTGCAGGGAGGCCTACTAGACCCAAAACGGAGCGGGTGGGAGGAACTCCCCCCCCACAGCCTGTTTTTGCTCCCAGGGGGGTGCAGGAGGCCGAGTGCTGCCTGTCACACCCACCATGGCCACGCCCACCCAGCCAGCCATTAGGGCAGAGAACCGGTTGTTAAATTATTTGAATCCCACCACTGAACAGCATTGAAAAAAGCGACTGATGACCATTTTTCACACTTACAACCATTCAGCATCCAAATGGACATGGGATCAGAATCAGATGCTTGGCAACTGACTCATATTTATTAAAAGTGTCACATTTATTTTACTTTTATTTTATTTTATCATATTTGTATACCACCCTACTCCCGGAGGACTCAGGGCGGTGAACAGCCAAGATAAAAATGCAAAGGACATACAAAAGTTAAAAACTATTAAAAATAAATTAAATAATTTGGGCTCAAAAAACAAATTTAAGACATCCAATTTATATAAAACATTTAAAACCCAATTTAAAAGGGAGAGTTAGGCCAGACCAGCCTGTTGGAATAAAAACGTTTTTAGGGCGCGGCGGAAGATAATCCCCTTTTGTAACTATCTGACAAGATAAATCAAGATAAATCAATGGGGACACCAAATTCACTTAATTCAATTCAAATCTTTACTGTCACTGCACAACATATGGGCAATGAGATTGGTGGAGCTCCCTCAGTGCACCCCCTCCCCCTCCAACACAATACAACTCACAGTGAAGACAGAAAATCCCTAACCTAATAAATCATATTAACAAAACACCCAGTCCTATTGCACCAGTGTGAACATGTTACACATTACCCCGGCCCTGCAGTCCATCATACTACGTAGTCATGATTTTATTTCTCATTCAGGAGTCTGACAGCCCACGGATTAAAAACTGTTCTTCAGTTTGTTTGTGTGGCTGGCTATACTTCTATATCTCCTTCGTGATGGTAGGAGGGTAAAGAAATGATGACTAGGGTGAGAGTCATCCCTGAGGATTTTCCTCACTCTTCCAAGGCAATGAGCCCTACATTACTATGTTAACTACGTTACTAAGTTAACAACTGCAGTGATTCCCTAACAACTGTGGCAAGAAAGGGCAAAACTCACTTAACAAATATCTCACTTTGCAACAGAAAGTTTGGGTTCTATCGTGGTCATAAATTGAGGGCTACCTGTAATTCTGTCATTTGGTTAAAACTGGGGTTGTGGAAGCCAAAATCCAAATGCCCAATGATAAAGAGAATCTTTTTTTTTAATTTTAATTTTTTATTTTTAAACAAACATACATAAAACCATCTTCAATTGCAAACTGTGTCGTTTGGTTACAAGTCTTTTGTGCATCATTCACCGAATTCATAGCTTACAATTTACAATTTACCTAGATTCTCATATCATCGATCTAATATATATCTATATATTGTTATCCTCATTAATCATTTATTTAACTATGACTATTTCTTCCCTCATTATCATTCAAAGTATTCTAAGATTTGAGTTAATTTTTATTATAACATTCATTTCAGCCTCCTGAATCTATCCAATAATAATACGTCTACATGTTATATTTCACATACTGTAGTTCTACAATTCTTGTATTGTGAAAGTCTCTACCATATTTCATTTCCATATTTTTTTATCTAACCATTGATAAAATAGGTCCCATATCTTATAGTATTGTTTATCTTTTTGTTCTCTAATTTCAAATGTCAATTTGCTCATTTCAGCACCTTCCAATATTTTCTTAATAACTTCATCCTGCGTTGGTATTTTCTCATTTTTCCAATTTTTTGATAAAGAGAATCTTTTGTATTGTTGGGAAATGAGTCAAATATCTGATGTTACTCTTGATTGTTCAGATCTCAAATAAGGGAGCAACTGTAGCTTTTCAGATGTACACATATCTCCTAAACTGATGGCCAGCATAGAATGATAGAAGCCACGATCTCTCATTTCTGCCTTTCAGCTAATTGCTCCAATTTTTGAAGATCCCTTTTCTTTCAGCTTCTTGCCAATTTGAGGAATGTGCACTTCAACAACAGTGCGGGAGATGAAGTCTCCTTCTCACAAAACGGACTGAGAACTGTTCGTTATGATATCGTCAACTGGGTTGTCCACCCCAATAA